CGGACCAAGCCCAATCTTCTCAGTCAGAAGAAGATACCACGACTATTGAAGCTAATCCTCCTCAATAGGTTGGCGAATCTACCAAAACTATCATGTTAACAGTTACCTCTGATAGTCCATCAATCTGCTAATCCTCTTCAATAGGATGGTAGGTCCACAAAACTATCACGTTAACAGTTACCTCTGATAGTCCATCAATCTGCCAATCCACTTCAATAGGAGGGCAGGTCCACAAAACTATTATGTTAACATCTACCTCTGATAGTCCCTCAACTTGTCAATTTTCTTCTCAATAGGATGACAGGTCCACAAAACTATCACGTTAACAGTTACCTCTGATAGTCCATCAATCTGCCAATCCACTTCAATAGGAGGGCAGGTCCACAAAACTATTATGTTAACATCTACCTCTGATAGTCCCTCAACTTGTCAATTCTCTTCTCAATAGGATGATAGGTCCATAAATCTATCACGTTAACAGTTACCTCTGATAGTCCATCAATCTGCTAATCCGCTTTAATAGGATGGCGGGTCTACCAAAACTATCACGTTAACCGTCACCTTTGATAGTCCTTTTCCTCCAAATTCCCCCACCAATCCTCTTCAAGTAGGATGGCGGGTCTACCAAAACTATCACGTTAACCGTCACATCTGATAGTCCTTTTCCTCCAAATTCCCCTACCAATCCTCTTCAAGTAGGATGGTGGGTCCACCAAAACTATCATGTTAACCGTCGCCTCTGATAGTCTTTTTCCTCCAAATTCCCCCACCAATCCTCTTCAAGTAGGATGACGGGTCCACAAAACTATCACGTTAACAGTTACCTCTGATAGTCAAACTCATCAGATAATGGCCTACCAGGTGATGTGCCTCTATTCCGACTTCATGGATAGTACCCTACTAGGTGATGTGCATTGTCTACCTCTTTTTATTCCCCTACTAAGTCTTAATCAAGACTGGGGGTTGGTTACTTGGAATCCATTGGATTAAGAGTAATAAATCTTTCACATCGTCAAGTTAATATTATACTTCTGACGATCATCACCCCCACGGAGTATGAATTCAGTTTGCATCACTTTCAACTTGTCACGTTAACAATACACCTCTGACAATCAACCTATCAATCCTCTTCAATAGGATGATAGGTCCTCAAAATTGCTCAAATCGCAATCTTCCCCAGCAAGACACTAAGTCTTCAAAATCTTAGTATCAAAATTCATCGCTTCTGATAATAAACTCACGTAGCAATTCTCCCCAGCGAGACGCTAGTCCCCAAAATCTTGTTCAAATCACAAGTATACAAATCTTGTCACGTTAACATCATACCTCTGATGACCCACTTATCAATCCTCGTCAATAGGATGATAAGTCCACAAAGTTGCTCCGATCGCAACAAATTCCCGTCATGTTAACATCATACCTCTGACAAACCCACTTATCAATCCTCTTTAATAGGATGATAAGTCCACAAAGTTGCTCCCATCGCAACACAAATCCTGTCACGTTAACACTAAACCTCTGACAAAACCCACTTATCAATCCTCATCAATAGGATGATAAGTCCACAAAGTTGCTCCCATCGCAACACAATCTTATCACCTCTGACAACCCACTTATCAATCCTCGTCAATAGGATGATAAGTCCACAAAGTTGCACCGATCGCAACAAATTCCCGTCATGTTAACACCAAACCTCTGACAATTAACTTATCGACTCT